TTCCCATTGACCTATTAAACATTGACTATGTTTACATGTGCACGGATAATACAATCGTTTCCAATAATCAGATTAAGAGCTTAATCATAATACATTGTTTACATTTGTCAAATTGTACTTATTATTCCCTAATAATTGTGATTATTTTTCTTACTGTGGGTATTTACTCACCTTACTTTACAGCACAAATGATAGACTAAAAAGAGTGGTTGTGTCACAAACTGTTGTTTTGATTTATTTACATTTAATACAAAACATGTTCTCATGAATACAATAATTCATACTGCAATCATGAGCTTAATTGCATTATTTTGCAATATTGCCAAAATGTCAACACAGGCTCATTGTGAAAATGTACCCCTGTATACATTTCTTTGGAGCACGAATTATGTAGCCAGAGCTACGTATGGCTGCATTTCGTCTTTAAAACAGACTCCATGGGGCTGTTTTTTTTTTTTTTCGTTACCAGCTGACTGCTTACCTCCGTGTGGATGTTTTTTTCTTTGTTACCAGTTTGCCGAGTAGCTCACCATGTATTTTGGCGAACTTAAAATGCAGAGAGGATTTGACTGTGACGATGGGGTTCAAGTGTGGCAAAGAACAGCTCCAGAAAGCAGGCAACAAAAGGGGTCAAGAGAAAGGGTGTTATCGGGTCAATCGGTGCTTTTGAAAACACTATCAGTTGGGTTTGAAGAAGGGTGGGGGGATTGGAGTCAATCAGTCAGTCGACAGTGGCCTCTGGTGGATTTACACGAGAACAGCAGGCACAAATGGCACTCGCAAGAGAAATTTGAAATCTGAAAAAGCGTACACAGCTGCCTCTGGTGGATTTGCGAAAACAAAAGCTGCAAAAAAAACGTTGCTCCATTTTGCAGTCTCCATTAATTTAAATAGAGGTATATATCAATAATAAACCTGGCTTGCAAAATGTCCTTATAATTGCATTAAGATGGTCAACGTAAACACACTCACTGTATTTTTTTATCTGAATAAATTAGATCTGTCCCATTACATTTGAAGCTAAAAAATATCTTGAACTACCAAATTTAACAGCCAAAATATGTTTTTGTATCTGCCATACTAGACTGCCATACCATGTGAAATGTATTGAAGTTTGCTATACTGCAGATGATAAAATAGAAAGTTACATCATAAACCGCCATACATCATGATTACAATAGAAAATGTACCATAAAACACCCTGACAAATGTTAAAATCAGACGAAACTAAACTAACTAATAAAAGCATATGTGATGTGTAATCTTTTTGATAGTTTATCAATAATATATAATAATCAATAATTTACGTTTGTATTAAATCTAAATTTAGTCAAAAATACAACTAAGAGTTATATATAGAAGCATCTACATAAGGATATCTTTATTGATACCCAGCCTTATTTTGGAAAAATATTCATTCAAAGCAATACAAAAAACAAACCTAGCATGTCTATGTTGGAAATCTGTTTGCCATCATCATTGTACGACGTATCACTGCTGAATGCCAATGAAAATCCAGTGTTTTGATTAATAAGTTATACTACATCACTTTTATCCAAAAATGTCTAATGATTGCACGTATTTCATCATAGTCAACCAGATCATAAAACGATGACCCATCATATCCTCCAATTCTTTGAGTGAACCATTTACTAAAAGTCTCGACTGGGCCTTTTCTGGAGGTTCAGATGAGTATGAACTCTCTCTTGTGTACCATAAATGCCCACTCTGCCAAGAATCCAGGCCAACAACAGAGAGAGGCACGTATTCTGCCCTGGGCTCTCAGCCAATAAGAATGCAGAGCAAACCTATGAGCAACCCATAGCAATGCAGTCAAGCAAATCAGAGGACTGAGTTTCACACCAATAAACAAAACCCTTAAAAATGATCCTCAATACAAAAGCCACCAGTGATGAGCGTTGATTCATACAATAATACTTTCATCACTTTCTATTATGCAGAAGACATAGCTAATAGAGCACAGACCAAGCACTGAGCCAACCACAGACTGTCCAGCCAACCGTTTATTACACAAAGCACAAAGAGATATTTATTAGCAAAAGAATGCAGGCCAACATTGAGAATTAACCAAACACAAGGAGCATGCTTTATGTTCCCCCTTGTTAAACTGTCAGTGGAAAAAAATCTAATGCTAAATTCATGTGCTCCCCCTCCACCCTCAATCCAACCCAACCAGAGCTGACATTTACACAGAGAAAGTCAACAGATCAGCGTAACACACACAGAGAGCTTTGACTATAGCAATGCATTGCACCTCAAGTTAAACGAAAGTGTCAACAGTAAGACTTTTGCCCGAAACCAAATCAAGTACAACGTAAACCTTATTCCATTCAGAAACCTTCCCTGGAGCTCTTTACGGAGAATCTGAATCTAATTAATGAGCCTATTTTTCCGCAATTACTAGCAGCTTCATTTTCTCACTGCAGCTAAAATGGCCAAAAACTGATATTTCCAACTCTAAATGACCAGAGTTTATGGCCACACATGTGAGTTCAATTGTATCACTACATTCTAAGCCAGATAAATCCACCACTGAAAGGGCACTTTACAGTGAGAACGATCATGGCCAACCATGAAAGGTCGTTCCAAACCAAAGTGCTCAAAACTGGCCACTTCAAAGAGCTCTCTGGAATGAAAAAATTTGAACTCATGGACGCTTGTTTTTTTGCTCCCGTGATTGCTGCACATGCTCAGTTTGATGCAAATGAAGCAAGATGACAGAGAAGTGTGTTTGAAAAAGCAGTTTTGTTGGTCCCCACAACCCCTACACCTTTTTTAATCTCTCACTCTGGAGGGTAGAGCCTTTGAAGGGATTAGGGCCAAAGAAGAGTCTTTGAGAATGGAAAGCAGCCTCTAGTAGTCAAGAAGCTGCAAAGAAAGAGGCTTATGAGCTATATTACTTGGCTTAATATCCAATCATTATGCTAATTCTTAGGGATGCACCAAAGTATCGAGAAAGAGGACATGTTAAAATCGGCATTTGGGTTGGAAACATTGACTAATTGACTTTTAAGGGACTTTTTCGTTCACATGACTGTAAACACTTAAATTAGTTTTTTTATTATTTGTTCAAACTACTTATGTAAAATGAGCTGAAAATTCCTGAGATTTCATTGGGACAACTTAATTTACTTTTTTTTATGTTTGATCCACATAAATTTGTGGAAAGTGTTAGCTTAATTGATTTGTGTTGGGACAACATGAATGAATTATTTGGAACCCTGCATTTTTTACAGTGAAATGTGCAGGTTTTCACACAAAGAATTCATGTTGTCCCAACACAAATCGATTAAGTTAACGTAACAAATCTAATAAACAGAAAATAAACAATTAAGCTGTCCCAAAAAAATCTCAGTAATTTCTGTTCATTTCAAATAAGTAGTTTGAACAAGACAGAAATTAAAAAGCTTTGAGTCCATGGCGAAATTATATGGATAAATTACATGGATAACTATAGGACTTTTTTTTAGGTTGACAATATTAATTCTTAAGATCAGTCTTTTGGTCTTTGTGGCTTTTTTACATGAGCAAAACTTCACTAAACACTTGTGTAATGCTCACAAACAATTTTATTGCATTTATATAATAAAATTGTGAAAGTGTAACAGATCCCTCACTGTAATCACATCCGTTCAAACAGTTCATCAATTCTGGTTAACTGCAGGGAAAGAGCTCAACGAAATCACTTACCAAAATACCAACTATACGAGTAAAGCACAAATAATGTCTTTCAATTCAGTCAAGTCCAATCTTCATAACTGTAAGCAGGTTGCTTTTCTGTCTGTTCCATTGCTTGTTGTTTTTTTAGATGTTTGCGCATACTTTTTTGCAATCTGAAGCACATCAAACACACAAAACACACAATTTGCGCCACAGGATGTCTTATCGCATCTTTGCATTGACTTCACATGTAAATTATTTACGCTTCACCCGTGCCTGCTTACCCCCCCAATGTAGTGTAATGATTGTGAGGTGGCAGGTGAGATGTCATTTTTCGAGAGACAATTAAATACATCACGTGTGCTGCGTATGCAACGACTACAAGTCATGTAAAACATTTAATTGCAAACTGAAATAAATATAGTTTGATTATATAGTTTGGAATTTGATGTTTTATGAAATTATTTACATTTTTTGCAATTAGTTTGCATTTAATTAAGAAATTTGAGGCTTTTTGTTGATTTTGCGTTGGATTCAGTGATCGCGGAATCGCGAAAAACTAGGGGTCTGACCTGCAGAAATGTTTCAACTCTCATGTAATCAGTATTTCACAACACAGAAAGATGCCAATAAACCCGTTTAACAATATGCCAATTAACATTACCTTACCCTTTTTAGTTCCTCTGAAAAAAGTTTTAAAAACAGAAGTGCAATATTAAGATATTTATTCAGAAAAAAAAATTTAAAACAAATTTTTATGTTTTGTTTCGGCCATAAGCTTTCTAAAATTTCCATATCAATTTTACCCTACATTTTTTTATTTTGGTGCATCACTAAATGCAATACTTACCTGGAGGATAATTTTGTGATTAATGATAACCTATGATTTGTTTACTTTGTATTTAATTTATTGCCTTGTGGAGCATGAAACCACCAAAACAATCCCACAAGCACAGAAGGAAGAATCTGAGTCTATTTAGGAACAAAAATATCATTAAAGACATTTTCACTTGGACCACCCAGTAACCACCTTTCATGCCTTATATCATGCAGAAAATGCTCTAACAACCACTTAGATAAGCTTTATTAGCAACAAAGCAATGCCCTGGTGGGCACCCAGACCACCCTGGCAGCATCTTTCTACTGTTGTCATCATGCAGAACACAACGCTTCTTTCCTGTTAGATCAGCTACGCATTGTACCACAGAGGCCACAATTCATGAGTCATCACACTTTTGAAAATCTACAGTTCATTTTAAAGCCCACGGGAAACCTTTAAATCCCCCTGAAAGTGCCTGTAATGATCGCCAGTCTCTCACCTCTCTGGCCTTCTCCATCTCAGCTTGCAGGACCTGCTTTGCCACCTCCAGATCCTGTAGTTTCACCCTCAGTTCCTCGTTCTCCTGCTCCAGACGAGATCTCTTCTTCTCCACAGTGTCCAGCTCATTGTGCAGACGGATGGAGACGTCCTTCGCCACCTAAAACAGCAAGGTGAACATTACTATTATACGTTTAGAATGTTATAATGTTTAACAGAGTGAACCAAAGATACTCTGCAAACTGCTTTCAAAGGCACTATTGGTAAATAAATGAAATGTTAAGAGGGTAAATAAAGTAAGAGAAAAAAATGGTAACACTAGTGTTTGTATGAATCGGAAGCTGCATTTTGTATTTTGTATCGTGATGCAGTTCCTAGTGGAACAATATATCAAAAGAAAACAGTGGGCGTGGCTTGTTTTTTACTACTGCAAGCTAATTGGATGTAGAATATTCAGCCGATTCAAATGTTATAACTCGTTGAATGGGCGCTATCAGCAGATAGATATGAGCCAGTAGGGGCCTTCTGCGCTTTTATCATCCATCCACATGGTTAATCAGTTATAGAGCACATAAAACTATTGGCAGAAGTTAACAAGAATTATTCATATTATTTATTCAATTTCCCATTAATTGTGTTTTATTAACGTTTACCTCTTCTCCAACCCTAACCCAACCATCACAGTAATGTAAAAACAGATCTGGATCTAAAGTCTTCTCTATTAGTATAGCTGATTAACCACGTGGATGGATGATAACAGCCTACTGCCCTGAATTTATCAGCTTATAAAAACTGATAACGTCCATTGAATCGAGTGATAACATTTGAAGAGGATGAAAAAGTAGGCATTTCATTCAGAAAGGTCAGGAAAAGAGGTTCAGTAGGGTTATTAGAACCTAACAGACACCTAATCCTCATTATTTTGCCTGTTTGTTGTCATAGCTCTGTCAAAACTGACAGATGTTAACCACGTCCAATACCTCAGACAGACATAATCTGAGAATTCAACTGAAAACAAACAGATTTTTCAGATTTAAATTTTAGATTATAAAAAGAGCGAAAAAATGTATTTTCTTTAAGACATGCACAGATAAAGTGTTCACTACAAAATTTTCAGTGTGAGCTAACCAATACAATATGGTAAGTTTTGATTTAATGTGTACTTTATTCATTATTAGGCTTATTTTATGGCTGTTATTGAGATATTGGCTGTTTATTACTACTTATAAACTACATATTCAGTATTCTAGATCATATGCAATACCCAAATCCACCATAATAACTATTATATATAACTCGTATAAGCAGCAAATTAGAAGTTTGTTTAGGCAAAAATCATAGCCAGTGACTTTTAAAAAGTGATAATAACAAACTACTGACTACTACTTGAAAATTGTAATCTGATTACATTACTAATTACTTCACGTAAAAAGTATTCAGATTACTAATTACTATACCTTGAAGTTACTCTTAAAACATATAAAATACACCTCTAAAATACTAAATAAACTGCAGCTCTATCAGTAAATTAAAATTCACTGAAAAACATTACAATGAGTTGATCACAGCAGCTTGACATATTCAAAAGGCTTAAAGAGTTCCCCCAATACTTAACATTCTCTCATCATTCTCTTGTTAAAACCTTTTTCTGAAACACAAAAGAAGACATGAAGAAAACTGGATACCTGTAACCACTGACATCTATAGTATGCAAAAGCACTGCAGTGTTTGGGTGTTCTGTGTTTGTCTGAGGTAATTAGTCTAATGTGTATATTCCATACAAAGCATGAAGCTGATTGGTCAGTTCTGGTTGTATGACTTCCGGTTTTCTACTGGTGCACCTGGAAAATGCAATCTTGCGCAATATGCATTCCAAATATGTGTGCGCAAGCTGAGCGCCTCAATTAGAAATAACGAACTTGCATGCATAAAAGCGGCGATATGTGAACGGCCCCGTAAGCAGCTACGCTTCTCTTCACATTCAGAAGATACCTTCACTCCCGATCCTGCACAAAAATCCAATTTAGCCTGTTTAGGCTGAGTGGGGCTGTCATGTTTTTGGGCACCGATGTCCTTTTTGGTAACAAGAGTTGTCCTAGTAGGCTTTCTATTCAAGTGCTTGAACAAGTTGCAGGTCAAGTTAAAAGCAGTCGAAAATTCTTTAGGCTGTACATAGACTACATCTCACAGCAATATTTTTTTGTTTTTCCGCTCAATGAAGTCAAAATAATGTCTGTATTTCCAGTCGAAGAAGCAACCGACAGAAACATGTGTTCTCAACTTGTGTTCTCAAACAATTTAAAGGTACATGCTTATTAACTGACGTTGCAGTGGAAAATGTGATTTAAAAGAAGCATTTTTTCTTCTAAACACTATATTTGTAGCAAAAGTAACGCAATTACATTGACTTTGGTAACTGTACTTTAATTACGCAAAATTAAAATGTAATTCGCTATATTACTGTGTTCCCCAAAAATGTAATTACAATACAGTAATGTGTTACTGTGGAACGCGTTACACCCAACTCTGGTCATAGTTAATAGTTTACCATAAATATTGAGAATAAATATGGATGATAAAGTGACTGAAAATTTTTAGATGATCATATTTAAGTGTGCATAATGACAAATAATAACAAACACATTTAATTGAACACTCTAATCCACTAAAAATAGCTGGTGTTCTGCTAGTACACACTAATTAGAAAAATTCCATTCAGTAGTTACTAATTGCTTCAAAAATTCCCCCATTTTCCCACTTTTAGCTTGTGAATATGCCAGCTATTGAATGTTTGGGTTACACATTGATGATCCATGTCTCCCTGAAAGTGGTGGAGAGATCATTAAAAGCAGTTGATCATAAAGCTGCACTCACTTTTAAGGAGCCAATTATTGGTGTTGGGCAAACAGATACAAACCAAGCTATACCGCACACACATAATGATGTTAAATGAGCCATTTTAGCAACACAAGACTATGTTTCACTACTGACAATGTTGCTATGTTTCTAAATAAAGGAAGGATGTTGGTTTCTGTGAGATGAATGAAAAAAGAGAGGGCAGCAGTCGGTGAAAGGGGTAAATGGGGACTGTGAGGGGCTGGGAGGAGAAATACAGTCCCCGTTTGTGAGTTTTCTCCTCTCCGAGTGTCTGAATTTCAGCCAAGGTGCAGCTGGGTACCCACAATGCCCCTCTGTACCAACACTACTACGCTCTAATTCATATCAGATCCCCCTCTCATTCTTTCCATTTCTTCATCACTCCAACAGCATCTCTGGCTTGTTCTGTCAAGTTTTCCTTTAGATTCTCTTTTTTCAGGACCTATTATTAACTTTTAAGCTTGTCTGCAGCCCAACAAAATCTGACTAAACAGTGACAGTAATAACTTTAAATACTTTTTAGTTATGTTACAGTAGCTCCACTGTTTTTTTTTTTTTGTTTTTTTTTAATCTTTTAAATAATTTTACAATTATTATGTTTTTTTTTTCTCCAAATTGTGCTGTAGTCAGTGTGATAAAGTGGTAAAGGACTGTTTTGTTGTTATGTTACAGTGATTTATAGTATAATAAATCACTTTATTTTTAATCTAAACTGTTAAGAATGAAAATAACTAACTAAATAAATATTATTATTATTATTATTATTATTTTATTTTGTATTTTATTTTTATTTTTTATTCAAGTTTTTTATTGTTTTCTTATGGTTCATTACAAAATAATACAAACACATATTACAAATGATCACTTGTGGCCTACTAAATTGTGGCCTACTAAATGTAAAGCCAAAATGATAAAGTGGTTACTAGGACAGAAGTACAATATTATTACGAAAACCTGGTGAGTAGTTTTAAAATGTGTTACAAGACATTGTCACATAAGACCAAAAGTCTTCCCATACTGGCGTACATACAGGGACCCCTGCTTTGTCCTTATTATGTAATTTGTAAAGGAAAAGAACGTCCTTAAATAACAAAGAATGCTCCCATAAAACATGAACTGGGAGCTTTAACCTGTCTCTGGCCACTAACATTAAGCCATGACAAAAAATAAATAAAAGCGTTGCAAAAGTAACACGCAACAACAACAAAAAACTTGTTTTAGGTCTCGTCATTATTATTATTAATATACTGTATTACATAAGTCTGCTATTTTGATGGTGTTTTGCAGAGTTACTAAAAATACTTTTAAGTATCTGAAACGTTCATGTATTTTAAAATATGGGTAAAATAATGTTACACGGTCCTTCAGCCTATAACAGAAATATTCATGTTTATTCATTCATTAATTTTCTTGTCGGCTTTGTCCCTTTATTAATCCGGGGTCGCCACAGCGGAATGAACCGCCTATTCATGTTTAAAGGGAAATAATATTTATTAATAATGAACCGGTCGGCGCGCCGATATCATCCACACTGATTCTCAACACTGGTGCCCACTCCTGTGCTCCCTGTACACACGACTGTACAGCGAAACACAGCTCCAACGTCATCGTTAAATTTGCTGATGACACAACGGTGGTGGGTCTAATCACAGTATCTGGATAAGCTTCAGATATATAATCTATATGCACAAATATAGAATTGCATAGCTTCCTATTAAAAATATGAAAAAGATAGATTTGTGAGGGGAGTACTTGCATATGCAGAGCACTGTATATACACCATTTAAAAAAAAAATATTTGCTGTTTGTTCAAACTACCTATTGAAAATGAGCTGACACAACACAATTCTTGAGGTTTTATTGGGGACAGCCTAATTGTTTTATGTTCAACCACTTAAATTTGTGAAAACTAATAAGTTAACTTAAGTCTTTCATGTTGTCCCAATGCAAATTGATTGTGTGAAACTCTGCATTTTTTAATAGTGTATGCTTTTAAACCATATTTAAATGCTACCAGGGTTTAATGGTAGTTTGGCGTTAGTATTTGTCATACAAAAGCATTAATTATCAGAGCTCCAGAAGTGTCTGTTGGTCCGCATTATTTGCATTCACTCCTCCCTCTCTATTCAGGCTGAATGACACCCACCTGCTTTTGTCTGACAATGTCACGGCCTGTTGTCGCATTTACATGCAAAGATGGACACCTCAAGACTGACAGGAAAAACAGTTTTGTGTGAGTGTGTGTTCCTGCTATTCATTAAATTGTGGGGACCAAATCTTCCT